ACACTACACTACACTACACTACACTACACTAGTGTGAGGTTGGTGGTAGGCCTCTTCCCACAGAGACCAGGATGGAGTCAGGCAGACTACACTACACTACACTACACTACACTACACTACACTACACTACACTACACACGTGTGAGGTTGGTGGTAGGCCTCTTACCATAGAGCCCAGGATGGAGCCAGGCAGACTACACTACACTACGCTACACAATACACTACACTAAACTAGAGTGAGGTTGGTGGTAGGCCTCTTCTCACAGAGTCTACGATAGAGTCAGGCAGACTACACTACACTACACTACACTACACTACACTACACTACACTACACTAGTGTGAGGTTGTTGGTAGGCCTCTTCCCACAGAGACCAGGATGGAGCCAGGCAGACTACACTACACTACACTACACTACACTACACTACACTACACTACACTACACTACACTACACTAGTGTGAGGTTGGTGGTAGGCCTCTTCCCACAGAGACCAGGATGGAGTCAGGCAGACTACACTACACTACACTACACTACACTACACTACACTACACACGTGTGAGGTTGGTGGTAGGCCTCTTACCATAGAGCCCAGGATGGAGCCAGGCAGACTACACTACACTACGCTACACAATACACTACACTAAACTAGAGTGAGGTTGGTGGTAGGCCTCTTCTCACAGAGTCTACGATAGAGTCAGGCAGACTACACTACACTACACTACACTACACTACACTACACTACACACGTGTGAGGTTGGTGGTAGTCCTCTTCCCACAGAGCCCAGGATGGAGCCAGGCAGACTACACTGCACTACACTACACTACACTGCACTACACTACACTACACTACACTACACTGCACTACACTACACTACACAAGAGTGTGAGGTTGGTGGTAGGCCTCTTCACACAGAACACAGGATGGAGTCAGGCAGACTGCACTACACTACACTAAACTACACTACACTACACTACACTACACTAAATTAGAGTGAGGTTGGTGGTAGGCCTCTTCTCACAGAGCCTACGATGGAGTCAGGCAGACTACACTACACTACACTACACTACACTACACTACACTACACTACACTACACAAGTGTGAGGTTGGTGGTAGGCCTCTTCCCACAGAGACCAGGAAGGAGCCAGGCAGACTACACTACACTACACTACACTACACTACACTACACAAGTGTGAGGTTGGTGGTAGGCCTCTTCCCACAGAGCCCAGGATGGAGTCAGGCAGACTGCACTACACTACACTACACTACACTACACTACACTACACTACACTACACAAGTGTGAGGTTGGTGGTAGGCCTCTTCCCACAGAGACCAGGAAGGAGCCAGGCAGACTACACTACACTACACTACACTACACTACACTACACTACACTAGTGTGAGGTTGGTGGTAGGCCTCTTCCTACAGAGCCCAGGATGGAGCCAGGTAGACTACACTACACTACGCTACACACTACACTACACTACACTACACTACACTACACACGTGTGAGGTTGGTGGTAGGCCTCTTCCAACAGATCCCAGGATGGAACTAGGCAGACTACACTCCACTCCACTCCACTACATTACACACGTCTGAGGTTGGAGGTAGGCCTCTTCCCACAAGCCCAGGATGGAGCCAGGCAGACTACACTACACTACACTACACTACACTACACTACACTACACTACACTACACTACACTAGTGTGAGGTTGTTGGTAGGCCTCTTCCCACAGAGACCAGGATGGAGCCAGGCAGACTACACTACACTACACTACACTACACTACACTACACTACACTACACTACACTAGTGTGAGGTTGGTGGTAGGCCTCTTCCCACAGAGACCAGGATGGAGTCAGGCAGACTACACTACACTACACTACACTACACTACACTACACTACACTACACTACACACGTGTGAGGTTGGTGGTAGGCCTCTTACCATAGAGCCCAGGATGGAGCCAGGCAGACTACACTACACTACACTACACAATACACTACACTAAACTAGAGTGAGGTTGGTGGTAGGCCTCTTCTCACAGAGCCTACGATGGAGTCAGGCAGACTACACTACACTACACTACACTACACTACACTACACTACACAAGTGTGCGGTTGGTGGTAGGCCTCTTCCCACAGAGACCAGGAAGGAGCCAGGCAGACTACACTACACTACACTACACTACACTACACTACACTACACTACACTAGTGTGAGGTTGGTGGTAGGCCTCTTCCCACAGAGCCCAGGATGGAGTCAGGCAGACTACACTACACTACACTACACTACACTACACTACACTACACTACACTACACTACACTACACTAGAGTGAGGTTGTTGGTAGGCCTCTTCTCACAGAGCCTACGATGGAGTCAGGCAGACTACACTACACTACACTGCACTACACTACACTACACTACACTACAGTACACTAGTGTGAGGTTGGTGGTAGGCCTCTTCCCACAGAGACCAGGATGGAGCCAGGCAGACTACACTACACTACACTACACAATACACTACACTAAACTAGAGTGAGGTTGGTGGTAGGCCTCTTCCCACAGAGCCCAGATTGGAGCCAGGCAGACTACACTACACTACACTACACTACACTACACTACACTACACTACACTACACTACACTACACTACACTACAGTGTGAGGTTGGTGGTAGGCCTCTTCCTACAGAGCCCAGGATGGAGCCAGGTAGACTACACTACACTACGCTACACACTACACTACACTACACTACACTACACTACACTACACTACACTAAATTAGAGTGAGGTTGGTGGTAGGCCTCTTCTCACAGAGCCTACGATGGAGTCAGGCAGACTACACTACACTACACTACACTACACTACACAAGTGTGAGGTTGGTGGTAGGCCTCTTCCCACAGATCCCAGGATGGAGCCAGGCAGACTACACTACACTACACTACACTACACTACACTAGACTAGTGTGAGGTTGTTGGTAGGCCTCTTCCCACAGAGCCCAGGATGGAGTCAGGCAGACTACACTACACTACACTACACTACACTACACTACACTACACTACACTACACTACACTACACTAGACTAGTGTGAGGTTGTTGGTAGGCCTCTTCCCACAGAGCCCAGGATGGAGTCAGGCAGACTACACTACACTACACTACACTACACTACACAAGTGTGAGGTTGGTGGTAGGCCTCTTCCCACAGATCCCAGGATGGAGCCAGGCAGACTACACTACACTACACTACACTACACTACACTACACTACACTACACTACACTGCACACGTGTGAGGTTGGTGGTAGGCCTCTTCCCACAGAGCCCAGGATGGAGTCAGGCAGACTACACTACACTACACTACACTACACTACACTACACTACACTACACTACACTACACTAGACTAGTGTGAGGTTGTTGGTAGGCCTCTTCCCACAGAGCCCAGGATGGAGTCAGGCAGACTACACTACACTACACTACACTACACTACACAAGTGTGAGGTTGGTGGTAGGCCTCTTCCCACAGATCCCAGGATGGAGCCAGGCAGACTACACTACACTACACTACACTACACTACACTACACTACACTACACTACACTGCACACGTGTGAGGTTGGTGGTAGGCCTCTTCCCACAGAGCCCAGGATGGAGTCAGGCAGACTACACTACACTACGCTACACTACACTACACTACAGTACACTACACTACACTACACTACACTACACTACACTACACTACACTAGAGTGTGAGGTTGGTGGTAGGCCTCTTCCTACACAGCCCAGGATGGAGCCAGGTAGACTACACTACACTACGCTACACACTACACTACACTACACTACACTAGAGTGAGGTTGGTGGTAGGCCTCTTCTCACAGAGCCTACGATGGAGTCAGGCAGACTACACTACACTACACTACACTACACTACACTACACTACACTAGTGTGAGGTTGGTGGTAGGCCTCTTCCCACAGAGCACAAGATGGAGCCAGGCAGACTACACTACACTACACTACACTACACTACACTACACTACACTACTGTGAGGTTGGTGGTAGGCCTCTTCCCACAGAGACCAGTTGGGATCCAGGGACAATGTTCTGCATGTGAGTGTTGTAAATTAGCTGGCATGTGATGATAATGTGGATGGATGTAGTTTTCTACCTGCAGAGCTATCGGTTAATGCAGTGTACACTGTCCTGTCCCTATGTTTTCCTATTTCCCTGCTCTTGTTGATATCTATTCCTTTCCATATTCTTGTTGAATCACACACCTGTCCTCCAGCCTGCACAGGCCTGGAACACCTGGGTAGTGTGGTGTCACATTACCATCCTTAGACCGATACTCACCTTTCAATTTCTTCCTTGTCGATGTCTGCCCTCCAGTATGTCCGTATACAACCAGGGCCTTCGGCCTTGGGCCTCACTCCTGTGAGAGACCTAGAGAGGAACTGAGAGCTGTCATTAGCTGTGGTCACAGCTTACATACTATCTGCCTTTTCTAATGACCGGGAGTTTGCAAGTTCCCAGCTCAGAATGAAAAGGATTCTGAGCCCCACTCTCCTCAGCTGACAATAGGTGCTGGTATTTTTTCATCTTAAACTCCACAGCAGCGCATTTACATGCGTGTAGATAGACCTCCACATGGTTGTCATATTCTCATTCAGCTATGGTCCTTTATGCCTCCCACTGAAATGCACCCACACCCACACCAGCTGGGTGCCTCTTTGCTTTCCTCTGGGCAAGGATGCCCTTCCCCGAGGGACCCCCGCCCCCTGCGGCCTGACCAGGACGGGCGTGGTCACCCCCTGGTGCAGCTGAGCGAACTCAGGCACAGAGGCCCAAAGCGACTTACCCAGGTGTGCCCGGCAGGCCGCCGGCAGAGCTGGGGTTCAGGTTCAGGGCACTGGCTGCCCGAGCTGTGACCTGGCCGGGCTCCGTCCTCCCCCAGCCGCGGGAGCCAGACCTGAGCGCGGTCCTCTCCCCTCCCAGGCTTCATCCCCCCGCCGCTCATCTTCGGGGCCGGCATCGACTCCACCTGCCTGTTCTGGAGCACCTTCTGCGGGGAGCCGGGCGCCTGCGTCCTCTACGACAACGTGGTGTACCGCCACCTGTACGTCAGCATCGCCATCGCGCTCAAGTCCTTCGCCTTCCTGCTCTACACCACCACGTGGCAGTGCCTGCGGAAGAACTACAAGCGCTACATCAAGAGCCACGAGGGCGGCCTGACCACCAGTGAGTTCTTTGCCTCTACTCTGACCCTAGACCACCTGGGGAGGGACCCTGTGCCCGCCGGCCAGACGCACAGGACAAAGTTTATCTATAACCTGGAAGACCACGAGTGGTGCGAGAACATGGAGTCCGTGCTCTAGTGACTCGGGGCGAACTCTGTAGAGCCATCCCCGGGTCATGTCTTTTCCTACAGAAAGAAAAACAAGGTTTCCAGACACACACACACGCACACACACACACACGCACACGCACACACACACGCGCGCACACACAGGACCTTTATCCTTCTTTCCACATCAGAGCCAGACGGCCTGCAGAATGAGGAGAGCCTGGGACCACGTGTCTGACGCGGGACCTACCTGCCGGGCGCGGGGTCTCAGGATGCCGACGGCCGCAAGCGAACGGGCACTGCCAAGTTCAGGGACGGCGGTGGCCAGCTCGGAGGACGGACGTTCCTGAACACCCATCCCGCACACAGACGGGAGACAAATCTCTTTTTTAAGGAAAAGTCTACTAAAAGCCACACGTTGACCACACGGCCAGGATGAGCACTAGTGACACCCCGGGCCCCTCCTCCCGTGGGGCTGGGGGTCCCCCAGGAGGGAGGAGGGCCCCCCACCTCTCTAACTCTCGCAATAGGGGTCACTGTGTAGACGCCTCACCCAGTCTGCGTGTGGTTCGAGGCCCGCGCGCTCTCAGCGATGATGCTAAGGGGTGATCCGTGCTGGGGTCCGTCATTGGCACCTCTCACCAGCTCCATGTCCATGTCCACGCCCGAGGGAGGGCCCGCGGGGCCGGGTGCGGGGCCCGCACCTCGCCTGCCCCCCCCCAGCGCCTCCCAGTGGCGGGGCCCAGCCCCGCAGAGCGACCTCAGGAAGCAGGGGCCTCACAGGCTATGACCGGCTTCTCTCGGAGCCGGTGAGGCCCAGCCCAGCCCCAGTCATTTGCTTACATTTGCCAAACATTTTGCCATTTTTTAAGAAAAAAAAAGAAAAAATACTGCAACGCCTACGGATTTCAGACTGTTGTATGTACAACCCTCCGAAACTATTTTTAACGACCCCCGAAGCTGTGCTGCCCGCCAGGCACCGACACAGCTCTTAGGCCGGGTTTCCTACGCTGGTTGCTTTCACTTTCTCCCTTTTTTTAATGCACCAAAAATATAATGTCATTCAAGGGATGAGATGAATCGATTGTAATTTTTTAAAAATCATTTTACCCTCATTCGGACATTCCGCAAAAAAAAACAAACCACGAGAGCATACGTGTTACAAGCAGGAAAAAAAAAATGCTTGACAAGAGCATGGCTGTGCGGCCACCTCTGAAGAGCCGCATCAGAGACAAGGGAGGGAGGGCCCTTGTGTGTGCTCCGTGTCCCACTTCAGGCAGCCCGTGAGGGAGACACGCGTGGGTGTGGGCCACATGTATGTGCCCTAGGGAGACAACACAGCCAGGCCCGAGGTGTGTGGTCACAGGCTCCTGGATGCCACTGCGTGCCCCGTGTACAGGTGCCAGTGTGGTTCTCAGGGTCGCCCCTGAACTGAGAGGCGTGTGTATGTGTGTGTGTGCATGTGTGTGTGCGTGCGTGCGTGTGAAGTGACAACCTCCAACAGCTCGCAGCAGCCCTGTCACCGTCTGGGGTAAGAGTCCTGGCAAGACCCCTTGCAGTCGGAGACTGGGCCTGGGGGCCATGTCCAGAGTTGTGGGGACACGCACAGCCCGTGTACTCACCTGTCCTCCTTCCTCAGTGACCTTGGTCCCGGCTGACCTTGACCCTGGGCAGGACCTCACAGGTTGGTCGATTGCTTTGCTTTGCTGCCTCAGGCTCATAGGTGCAGTCACATAGAAGGAAAAGAAAAAAAAAAGATTAAAAAAAGAACTGGGGAGAAAAGGGTTTTGTGCCCATTTTTTTTTAACAGGAACTGTACAAGGGCCGGTTTGAGGGACAGCCCAGGCAGAGAGCTGGGGCAGGGTCCGTGGTGCGGGGTTCGAAGTGCGGGGTCAGCTGCCTGGGACAGGATGCTTCTGAAACGGCCTTCTCCCCTGGAGCGTGTCCGTCTGTCCTGGTTCACACTCCTCGATGTGTAACCAGCAAAAGGTTGGGTTGTTCTCCAGCGAATTCATAAAACCTAACGCAGCTCAAAAAACATGTCCACACTCTGAGCAATCATCGAGGTGTTTCATTTTCACGCCGTGCTGCCAGCTGCTGCCCTGTGTGTGCAGTTTGCGGACACCCTGCGTCCCCTGTCCCCCAGAGGCCCTGCCACCACGCTGTGCAGCCGGGACTTCTGTCTGGAACACGTGCTGCTCCTTGGTCGCCCTCCCCTCGGACACCACACGGCTGCCCACGCTCAGCGCACACACGGGAGCCCCGTGGCCTGGCATTTCACGGAGCTGTTGGCTGTTTTTGTTGTTTTTTGAAAGCTCCTTGCATTTGGATTTTTTCCCTCCGGTTGTAGGATGAATGGGAGAAAGGAAAACAACCCCAGACTCGGTATTAGCAACCCCCGGGTAGAAATTCAAGGGCCAGCGTGTGCCTCTGAGAATCTCAGTTCCTCGGATGCTGGAACAGAGAACCTAGTGCAGCTACGTACACGTTTCTCTCTGAGCTGCAAAGAGCCAGGGACACGCACTGCCAGCCCAGCCCTCCGTGTCTGTCTGGTTTCGAGTGGTATTTCCGAGTGGGAAGATTTCCTGGTCAGATCTCTGTGGGTCCAACAGAAAGCAGGCACACCGGGGGCAGACGCAGCCTGGAGCGCCGATGCCAGGATGCCAGGGCCCTCCCTCCGCTGCTGCCAGCCCCCCCTCCCCTCCCCCCGCATCCAAGCTGAGCAAGCCCAGGAGGAGTGGACGCTCTTCCCTGCAGCTTCGGGCAGATCTCTATAAACCGACACAGACCCAGGCGTCCAGATGTCTTACCAGCATGGTTCCTGCAGAGGAAGTACACACGGGGGGTGGGGGTGGGGGTAGGACCTGCTTGCTTGCTGCCTGCCTTCAGCCCAGACTGCGTGCTTGCCCCCCCACTCCACGCCTCTTGGAGAGCCGGGACCCGCTGGGACCAGTTGCTGCAGACGGCCAGGGGCCCCCTCTCAGGGCCTGAGGCGTCCGCTTGTGCTTAACACGCAGAATAAACAGGGAAAACAGAGCTTCCCGGAGCCCTCTCACCCGTCCTCCGAGCAGGAAGGCAGGCGTGTGCCCTCCGTGCACCCGCCGCTCTCACCTCCCTGCAGCGCGAAGCTTCCTCTCCAGATGGTTCCGGAGGTTGGTCGGGCAGCAGCCCGTACCTTCACCCCCGATCCTCCCCATACCCCACCTCCCCACCTCCCTGCCTCCCTGCCTCAGGCGCCCCAGTCCCCATCCGCCTGCTGCACGCGCCTATTTTGACAGCGTGGGAAAAGCAGGTATCTGTGGAGAAGCCAAGAGCACGTATGGGACACACAGTAGGGCTTCAGTGCTCCTCTGAGTCTACCCACCGCCGTCTCGATGGCCTGCCCTCAGCCACAACCCGGCTATGCTCTAGGCGGGAATCCAGCTCAGATCCCTAAGAGGCGCCAGCTTCCCGAGAGAGGGTGCTCCTGACATTCAATCCACCTAGAGAACCCACTCGGGGCATAAATGTCGCCCGTGTACTCTCGTCCATGGTCCTCACCCTCCCTGCTCCGTCCGGGCTCTGCAGCTGCAGGGCTGACGCATCTCAGAGCCACTGGCCCCAAGGAAGCCTCTGGTCCCAGTCCCGCTGGGAACGACGGGGCTCGCGGTGAAGCTGTGAGACGGCTCCGGCTGGGGACAGGCCGGGAAGGGCCTTCTGTCCGGATGCCGCTGCCCAGCATCGCCCAGGCAGCTCCTGCGTGGGCACTGTGACCCCCACATCCGCTCCCCACCCCGGTCGTGACCTCAGGGGCGGAAAGCCTAAAGGGGACTCAGGAAAGCCGGCACCCCGCACCCCAGACATCTGTGCTGCATGGAGATGGACAGACACTCAGAGAGCATCTGGTGGGGCACCATGTCCTCACCCCAGGATGTTTTCCCATGATTCCTAGAGATCGTGGAAGGGAGGGAGGGAGAGAGAGAGAGAAACGTGGATGTGAGAGAGACACATCGATTGGTTGCCTCCCACACGCGCCCCCACCAGCCCCCGGGGGCCGAGTCTGCAACCCAGGTACGTGCCCTTGACCAGATTGAACCTGAGACCCCGCAGGCCATGGGCTGGCGCTCTAACCACCGAGCAGCCGGCCTGGACCAGCTGGATGTTTCCTGAGCGCGTACACATTCCTTCGCTCCATGATGAGAATGTGGCTCTGGACCAGACACAAAGGTTCAAAACAAAACATGGTCCTGTCTGCTAAGAGGTCATAGTTCAAGGAGCCACACAGACCTGAACACAAAAGCAACAGAAGACTACCGAGAGCTGGGTCTGTCTGTCTGTCCGGCTGGCTGGGGCAGGAGGGTGTGATCTGGTCCTGATGTGGCGAACCAGGTAGGCCTGGGGGTCTAGAAACCAAGTCTGAGTCAGCGCCTCGTGCGGGGGGCTCGGGCAGCCGAGGTCGGCTCAGGAGGGGTCCTGGCCAGGTGACCTCCAACTCGGACACTCCTGACCCCGGGGGTCTAGCTCGGAGGTCCTGTCCCCCAGGAGCGAGGTGAGTGGCCCCTTCCTGTCAGGGTACATCGTTCTGTTTGAATGGGTGGGAGGGGCGAGGGCAGGATGTGCAGACACAGGAAAGGAAGAGCGGACAGAGACACTGACCAGCATTTCCGTTCCCGCCTCCTTCCCGCCAGCACGAAGCATCGGCCCGTAAAGCGAGGAGATGGTCAGGACTGAGGAACAGTAATCCCAGCGCCTCCCCCCTGCCCACCCACACTAACTCATGGGACCTCAACGGTGCCCCCCGAGCCAGGAGCCGTGACAAATGTCAGCTTCCCCAATGGGCTCCAGGTGGCCAGGCAGAGTGAGGACTCGGACCCAGGGCCACGAACCCCAAGCCCATGCTCTGATCCTCCCAGGCACCACTCCCTGCTCCGCAAGACAGAGGGACCCCCCTCCCACCCTCCTGCCGCAGGGACAGACTAACAGGAAAACTCTGGCTCTGATGGGCTGTCCCTCCCCCCCCCCTCCAGGCCCCCAGTGGAACCATGGGGCCAGCGTCTCCCCGCAGAGCCCAGGGGTCCATTTATGGGGTGTTCTGCCAGAAGCCGGCAGGTGAGGGGGAGGCGGGAGATCTCTCCCTTCTGAACAGTAAGGTGCGGGGAGTCACCCTCAGAAAGGTCTCCGTGCCCCAGCTCCCCGCAAACCCCAGACCTCCCTGCCTGGCCACGCCCTTGACCTCAGGAGTGCGGTGCTGGCCAAGGCCTCAGTCACACCGACGTGGCCCCTGCTGGACCATCTCCCTCCATTACCAGGCGCCAGGCTTCTAGAAACAGTCCGTAGACATTTCTGTGTTTGCACTGACGACTCAGGCCAACCATCGATGGTTGAGGATTACCTTAAGGCAGTGGTCGGCAAACCCATCAGTCCACAGAGCCAAATATCAACAGCACAACGATTAAAATTCCTTCTGAGAGCCACATGTTTTACACTTAAGCTTCTTCTAACGCCACTTCTTCAAAACAGACTCGCCCAGGCCGCGGTGTTTTGTGGAAGAGCCACACTCAAGGGGCCAGAGAGCCGCATGTGGCTCCTGAGCCAAGGTTTGCGGACCAAGGCCTTAACGGGAAACATTCCAAGCTGATGCTAGAGTGACCACGCCCTTTTTACTGGGGCCGATGGGACAACGTGGCCCGTTTTCTGGAGGGTCCCCATCCCTTCCTGTTGGCTGAGACCACACCACCACATGACACCCCCCAAATCACGTTTCCACCACCTCAGGCCGACTCCCAGGAGCGCTCCCCTGAGGAGACAGTGCCCCCACGGGTCGTAGAATCTGAGGTCACAGGTCACAGATGGGACTGGAAGAGTCACAAGGGAAACCCCGTTAGCACAGAAACCGGACTCTCGTCCGGACCCCGACAGAGGGAAGGGGCGTTCATGGACAGCCCGTGCCAGGTACCAGGTGCCACGGGGCGACGCTCCCAGCAGCCTCTGCGGTAGGTGGCATTTCCCCACGTGCAGACCTGCCCCCAAAGGCCCAGTAACCCCAGCCTCCCACGGCCACGGAGCTCGTGACAAAGTCCCCAAGAGCCACCGCCAGGCCTGCCCGATTCTGTTTCATCTCGTGGCCTCCAACCTGGGGACTCAGAGCAGACGGACAGGTGACTGGGCAGGGGGACCGGCCACCAAAGTGGGGGCGCGGCGCTGACTGAGGAACGTCAGTGAGGCCAGCGAGGCCCCCACGACCAGGAACACCCCGCCCAAGCCTAGACTGTCGCAGGGAAAGGAGCCCAGAGCCGGGGGAGAAAACTCAACCACACGTGGCCTATGGACACAGACATCTTATAGAATAAAAGCATAGGATGCAAACTGTTCCCTCGGCCAGGAGTTCCACCAGGGGATGGGGACTGCAGGGGAAGGAAGGGGGTGATGGGCAGCCAGCAGTCGCTAGGGACCCTACCAGCGCTTGAATTTTGTGCACTGGGCCTCTAGTCTACTATAAAACCCCCTTTTTTTTTTTTACTTTAGTCAATAAACACGGGCACGCTGAAAGCACACTCCCTCGCTCTCCCACCTTGGCCGAATCCGAAACCGCTACTTTCACCCCTCCACCTCATTCTAACTGCGCACATGCACCCCTGCTCCCGTCCCAGCCCCCCTTTACCTGCCCCAGGTCATGGGCAGAACCCCGACTGAGAACTTGAGCCTGGGAGGTGCAGGGCGGGTGTCCTGTAGGCCGGACCTCAGCTGCCCCATCCTGAGGATCGCAGAGGCATGTCCACCCTGTCACCTGCTGTCCCACCTGCAGGACAGGCGAATGGGCAGGGCCGTCTGTGGCCGCTGTGCCAGCCACGACGAGCCCCACGCAGCTCCTAAGCCATGCTGAGCAGGTTCCCAGTTCCCTGTAAGCGAAGCCAAGGCCCCTTTGTGGGCTCGGAGACTGAGCTCCAGGGAGATGGTCCCTCAGCTGCATGAAGGCGGGTGGCTGAGAGCTGGTCCCTGTGGCTGCAGGAGAGAGTCCACAGGGGGACACAGTGTCTCCTCGGTCACCTCAGGAGGCCTGTCCCTGCTGATTTACGTGGGATGAGGATGCGTTCCTGACCTCTCAGCCATCCCCTGTGGGTACCGCCATGCAGGTGAACACGCCTCAGGGAGTCGCGGCCGCAGACAGGTCTCCGGGCCTGGACCCTATGTCCTCGGGGTCACAGAGCAAAACCTAGCATTTCACTGACATGGCTTCCATCTCGTCCACCTGCTGGAAAACCACAGTGCTGGTGTTTATGCCTGAAAAAGCAGGAGCACAGCCGGTGTGGCTCAGTGGTTGAGCGTCGACCTGTGAACCAGGAGGTCACGGTTCGATTCCCGGTCAGGGCACAGGCCCAGGTTGTGGGCTCCATCACCAGTGGGGAGTGTGCAGGAGGCAGCCGATCCACGATTCTCTCTCATCACTGATGCTTCTCCACCCCACCCCCCACTGCTCCCTTCCTCTCTGACACCGGTAAATATATTTATGTTTTTTAAGTAGGAGAACCAGAAAAGACCGACCTCTCTTCTCCTCTGGCTCTTCCTCCCCCCAGGCCCAGAGTACCGAGACATTGACACCGAGAAGGCCTGTCGCGGGTCCCAGTCACCTTCGGAAGACTCCTTTGTGAGAAGCTGAGGGCCAGGCCCTCGTCTCTGCAGCAGCCGCCACCGCCCACAGACCCGCAGGCCGCGGGCGACTTAGCCAGCTCCGTCCCGCCCTGAGCCAGGGCCCAGGGCGGTGCCCAGTCCTCTGAGCAGCTGCGCTCAGGGGGCCTCCAAACCCTCCCAGCAGGCACCATCCCTGGGTCCCTGACGAGGCACAGTGACCTGCCCCCCATCTCCCTTCTGTGGCGCCCGTAGGGAGGATACGCTTGAGCAAACTTCCCTCCGGAATGCCCCCCGACCTGGGCACCCACGGCCCTCCCTGAGTCCCGAGGCTGGACTCCCATCGGGGTCCCCGGTCCCTGTGCCCAGGAGGGAGGGGCACACGCTCTGTAGATGCCTCCTGTATTTTTGCAGCTTCTATTTCCTAGATGAGCCGTGTAGAGAGGCGTGAGGCGAAGCACGTGCTGTATGATCGCAGACAGTGACATTAAAGCACTATTTTAATTCGTCCTCGGTCTCAGGCTGGCGTCTCTGTTCTCCTCTCCGTGTCCTGGGCTACAACGACCCTAACGGGTTCCTTAGCGGAAGGAATGCTCCTTGGCCGTGTTCCTGGCCTGGGAACCATTTCCATCCTTACCCCGAGCTCCTGGCGTGGCATCTGGCAAGCGATCGGCCTGCTCTGAGCCCGTGTCGCTGTCTGTCAGGTTCTGCTGGGGGTGAGGCCCTGGGGGAAGCAGGGAGCGGGGGGGGGGGGGGGGGGGGGGCGCTGAGCGCCTGCAGTAATGGACCTCAGAGGCCAGAGAGCCGGGAGAGAAGAGGCCTGCAGGGCCTCTTTTAGGCCTGGAGCTTCTGCAAGATCGCTGACCCGTCAGGAGGCTGTGGGAGGAGCGACCAGTTGAACCGGGAGCCAGATGATCAAACCTCCTGAAGGGAACACAACTCAGTCATCCATAGCTGCCAGGGTCTCTCCTCTGCACGGTGGACTTTTTTTTTTTTTTTTTAAGCATCTTTCTCTTCTTAGCAACAACACAAAGCAGTCAGGAAGACGGTCCCAGCCCCTCCTTTCCTCCCTCCTCGGCCCCCAGCATCCCCATGGCCTCAGGGCTCCGGACAAAGGCAGGGTCAGTGCCTCCCTCCGGCCACAGGCCTTGGAAACGGAGTCCCTTCTTCATCTGGAGCCACCCACTGGTTGCCATGGTGATGCAACATCTGGTGCCCAGCTCGGCTCTGGCGGTCACTGGGCTCGGGCATCCTCCCTGCTGAGGCCGGGCCTATGGTCTCCGAGGACCATGTCACACCTTGTGGGCGAAGGAGAGTCCCTCAGAGGCAGGGTTTGGGGAGGTGGGAGGTTACATCTGTGTGAACAGAGGTTCTGAGAAACCCACACTCCCTGCCAATCCTCCGATTAATGGTCCGTAGCTGTGGATTCTCCAATCCGGCTGGCATGCCATCTTCCTGGATTTATTTTATTAGCGTTTGTTCCTGAGGAGCGTGCGTTATTTATTAAAACGCCCATAAACATTTAACACAGATCTGCGCTCCCGGCTCCTCTCCCCTCGTTGAATACATTTCAAACTTTAATTGCTTGTCGGCTGCTCTTTCCGCTCGCCAATTATTTTTTGAAGCTGAGCAGGATAGACTAGCAATATGGGTTTCTTGCCTGGGACTTTCTCCTGCTCCCTAACACAGTCTCTTTATTCCCCCTTGAAAACACAGGATCTGCCTTGCACACTTCATAATGACAAGGCTTGCCGGGCCGGTGTGGCCAAGTGGGTGTGTCAGCCTAGGAACCAGGAGGTCAAGGTTCAATTCCTGGTCAGGGCACATGTCCAGGTTGTGTGGGCTCCATCCCCAGTGTGGGGTGTTTCAGGAGGCAGCCGATCCACATTTCTCCCTCCTCATTGATGTTTCTCTCTCTCTCCATCTCCCTTCCTCTCTAAAATCATTAAGTATAAAATTTTTTGTATTTATTTTTATTTTTTAAATATATTTTATTGATTTTTTTTTTTTTTTTACAGAGAGGAAGGGAGAGATGGTTAGAAAGATCAATGAGAAACATTGATCAGCTGCCTCCTGCTAGGGATGTGCTCGCAACCAAGGTACATGCCCTTGACCGGAATCAAACCTGGGATCCTTGAGTCTGCAAGCCAACGCTCTAACCACTGAGCCAAACTGGTTAGGGCTCAAATGTTTTTGGAACAAGTGGCTACTGTTTCCCCCCCCAAAAAAATCTCAAACTATACTTCCCACCATACAATCAATTGCCTAGAAGTGGATATGGAGTTAACTGTACAACTTACAACTGTGAAATTTCTAGATAAAAAACAAATGGGATCATTACGATCACGTGACTCAAAGAGTTCTAAGACACAACTCCAAAGGTATGCTCCATCCAATAAAAACAATACACCACAGTCCTCCTACTAAAAACATCTGCTCAGCAAACCGTGCTGCGGAGAGAATGCAAAGGCTTGCCACAAACGGGGGGGGGCGGGGGAGGAATATTTGTGTCACATCTGGGCACCTGTACCTAGAACACATACATTCTCAAAATAACTAGACTAGCCAATAACCGAGCCAATAATAATGTACAAAAGAAGATCAACCGAAGGACTTGTATGCATGCATATAAGCATGACCTATGGATGCAAAACACTAGGGGGTGAGGGCATGTATGGGAGTAGGGGGGGGGCAATGGTAAGATATGTACACATATAATATCTTAGTAAAAAAAAATGGAGAAAAAAAATAATGGACAAAAGATTTCAATAAAGATGATGTAGATGGGAAATAGACCCCTAAAACAACCCTCAACGCCACTCGTCATTAGGAAAATGCCCGTGAAAATCACAATGAGACACCACTGTGCACCTTCCCGAATGTCCACGATCATTTTTCTTTTAATCGCGAACCAGTCAGGATGTAAAACAAATGAACTTTCCTACATGGCTGTTGGGAATGCAAAATTGTACGGCCACATCAGAAAACCAAAAGTTATGTAGAAGTAGAGAGAGGAAAATATATTGCCAAGCACGTCATAAAAAAAGGAAGTAAATGGTCCATAAAGAAGTGGGTAGAAATGCAGACCCAGTATTTATAAAAAATGAAAAGTAAGATATCACAGAGATACTATTCTTCACAATTTACCACTGACAATGGTTGTTTTTTTTTTAAAAAAAAAAGAATAGTCCATGTTTGTGAGGATTCAGGAGAACATATATTCTCAGAAAGTATTGGTGGCAGTGTAATTTGCTAAAGCTCTCTAGAACATGATTTGCAAATATTTGTCATGAGCTATAAAAAAAAATGTATCCTCTTGGTAATAGCAGTTTTACTCCTATGAATGGATCCCAAGGAAGTAATCAAAAATGAAAACAAAGACATATATAAAGAAACTCATCATGGCGTCCGTTTCAATATTGGAGCAACGGAAGCAACCTTAATATACAATTTAGCCATTAAAAATATTTATGAAGCATTTATGATGACATTGGCAAATATATTTCATGCAAAGATTAAAAAAAGGATAGAAAAGTCTATATAGAATGATGCTGATAGTATATACACAAATATATATATATATATATATATGATTTTAAGAAGATTATTCTATATGGATTTGAGTGTGAGTGTGTGTGAGTGTGAGTGTGAGTGTGTGTGAGTGTGTGTGTGGTGTGAGTGTGTGTGAGTGTGTGTGTGAGTGTGTGTGTGTGTGTGTGTGTGTGTGTGTGTGTAAAGAAATACAACCATTATGACTTCCAGACTAGCTTGGCCAGTGCTGCTCAATGGTTGAGCAATGAACCAAGAGATTGCTGGTTAGATGCCCAGTCAGGGCACATGCCTAGGTTTCGGGCTCGATACCCAGTGTGGGGTGTGCAGGAGGCAGCCGATCCATGATTCTCTCTCATCATGTTTTTCTCTCTCCCTCTTTCTTCCTCTCTGAAATCAGTAAAAAAATAAATATTTTTTCAAAAGACTACTGAATAAGACTTTGCTATTCTATTTTTAAAATATCGTTTTCTTAAATCTTCTGGCACTTTCACATTTTAAAAAAATTACACTACTTTGATAATCAGAAAAATAACGACATTAGTTTAAAGTAATGTTTTCCTTTCTGGGGCATGATAAAATCTGGTTTTTATGTCTGCTTTGGCCGCAGACCATTCTCATGCCAGAATTATGCCTAAAGAGGAAATGTCAAGACTGTCATTTGCTCAGGTTTACATGACACAAGGATGGCCCTCCCTAGACAGTCCTGCAAAGATCGGTTTGTGGAATCTCGGATTTTTATTGACCACACAACATCCATCAATATCATGAGAAGAAGTTGTGTTCCATCCCAGCCAGACCCAGAACATTTCACGAACCATTCCAGGTTATGATATGAAATATCTTAGGCCCGTGGTCGGCAAACTGCGGCTCGCAAGCCACATGCGGCTCTTTGGCCCCTTGAGTGTGGCTCTCCCACAAAATACCACGGCCTGGGCGAGTCTGTTTTGAAGAAGTGGCTCGTGAGCTGCAGTTTGTCGACCACGGCTCTAAACCATTCCTTCCATCCAGCTGTCTCATCTTAGAAGGCCCAGCAAGGCTGAGTGATTAGCCCAACATCACCAAGCAAGACGGCAGTTAAATGGGGAATCCAATCATAGGATGACCTGTATTTTATTTTTGCTTATATCATTTTATTTCCCCACTAGAGGCCCAATGCACGAAAATTTGTGCAAGAATAGGCCTTCCTTCCACCGGCTGCCAGCACCAGCTTCCCTCTGGCCCCAGCTTTTTCTGGAAGGATGTCTATCTAATTAGCATATTCCCCTTTTATTATTATAGATAGCTATCGATATGTTGCTTCACTGTGAAGTATTTGGCGAGTACAGACAAATAGAGAAATCCTTCTGCAAATCAGCCAGCCGTATCTGGAATTAAAAGAATTATTGTCTAGCCTTTTTTTTTTTCCCACTACATACACATTCACACATGTCTAAAAAAACTGAGGTAACATTTACCAGATGCTGCGGTGTGCCCAGTACT